GAAGACGCTCGAAAGCATCTCCTTCGACAGTCGATATGGATTCCACGACGATGAAGCGAGAATGATGACTTGTATGTGATTTATTTTTTCGGTATACTTGCAACTTGCACCCCAGTCAATTTATTTTTTATAGGTTGCAATAAAGCAGATGTTTTCAAGTGCATTTGCTCTGTTGGTGCCTAAGTATTCTTAGTTCACCTCGCTCGCATTTTGTATTCCGTCCTTTTCAGTTCATATTCAGAATGTTTTTGATGCAAGGCAGTAAATGTGCATCACTCCACTTTTGCCCAATTTTTATGAGGTTGTCATTAGTTTAAACAAACTAAAATAATATGAAGTAAAATTCAGTAATTAATTGAATTTGAAAATTTGCGGCGAAAAATTGGATGTTCCTACTTTCTATTGATTATGGGTAAATGGTGTAACCAAATCCATCTTGGTTGCTCTTGCTTCTATCTTTTATAAAGATTTATTGGAACCTATAATGCTTTCCTGAAATACCATTTATAAAATTGCATAAGCTGAGATGAACTTTGACTTATCTAATAACTCGCTGTAAGGTGAATCAAAATTTGGCTCATAATTAGCAGCAACATATTTTACAACATGCTTGACAATAAAAATAATAATAATAAATGAAAAATACGGCAATCAGTCCATGATGAACTTGGATACTTTTGTCCAAGTCTGAAGTGATTAAATATTGTTACTGCATATTTTTTTAAATATGGGAAGATTTTCCAATACTTTATCAAATGGTTTATAAGACCTTGGACCTTCTTAAATGTCGTTTTAATCTGAACACTTATAAACAGTATTCGACTTAAAAAAATATCTAAGGAGATTAAGATCCCATAGACCACTTAACAAAGTACTGAAAAACTCTAAACAATATATCTATTCCTTTTGTTAACAAGAGAATTAAGATTCCGTTGGATGGGGTTGGCAATGCACTAAAACATAAATAAACACTATCGTAGCCTTTGTGTTTGTAAATATTACTTCATAGCAACCAGGTACCAGCTTTTACAATCCTTTATATCACCAATGGACGAGTTGTGAACTACTAACGATTCAATATTTAAGATATGCAAGATAGATTGTAGCACATTGAACATCATGATATATATATATATACATTGACAGACTTAGACAAGCCTTCATTTAGGTGGAGACAACTACAGTAGTACAATGAACAGAATACCTGAGGAGCACAGTGTGCTAACAGAAACATCTGGATCTGATAATAGGTTCTGACGTCTTGTCGTCTCAGAAGCATTTGAGTAATCATGATCAATTCATACCTGTTGAGCTTGGTTTTTTAAATACAAGTATCTTCATAGACGAGGATTTGAACCATTAATAACATATTCCATCACGATAGTGATGCAGTTCAACCACTGCGGCTCTCTCTCTCTATAAAGTCTATATTGCTATAAGTGCTTCATACCATTTTCTTAAATTAAGGATTAACTTCTAAGAATTCAGCGCCTTAGTAAAGAATGCGTACACTTTTCTTCCTCCATCATTATGTCAAGATCTAGACTCCGGTCTCATCTACTTTTTCATTCCCATATTAATTAGTTACATATTTCTCGCTTTAATGATACAGGTCAGTGCTTCCAGGTATGTCTACTGCATTTGGGATAATGATTTATTAACATTCTAGGTTTATTTAACTGTTCAGCGTTCAACTGAACATTCCTTATAGTTTTACCATATCCTGCATAAACTTTAGGCTGACGGTATTTACATATAACTTACACAACTTTGTACAAACAAATAGTTTTTCAAAAAGATCTTTTTATTCGAACCATAAAAGAATGACAACAGCGATATAAGTAGTTTCAGAGTGAAATAACCGAGAAAAAGGCGCAGATGTTCAATTTCACTCAAGTAGAATAAGTAAAATTAAAAATGACCCAGTGTAAACAATATATTTAGTATCTTTGGATAATAACATTGTAGTCTTAGCTCATCATCGCGCTTGGAATTCTTTACATTCATTTATCTACTCCTGTTCGTCTCCCACGTCATCTAAGTCCTAAAAGAAACATCTTGTAAAAATTTATAAACTTTATGGTTATGGTTTTCCTTATAGTTTTACCATATCCTGCACAAACTTTAGGCTGACGGTATTTACATATAACTTACTAGTGAGGAATATCCCAACCCAATACAATTTATTACCGAAAATTTCTAAACCGTAATTGCTGAAATGACTAGTTTTACAACGCAGCAATCAAAACGTTTCTCATAACTTAATTTTAAATTATACTTTGGGTTTCTGATAAGGAATTCCATTCGAATATAGTTCATCACTAACAATTTCATGGTCCGAAGGTGAGTTCAACGCTCGCGTTTGAACATCATTTTTCTCTTCGTTAAAGCTGCTCTTTTCGTTCGAACTACAAATAGCGCACGTAAATGTAATAATTGCCATGGAATATTTATAACTATGGATACTGTAATGAATTCAGTAAATTCTTAAAGCCTTACTTATTTTCGAAGTTCTCATTACTTTCATTAGCAACTACATTGCCAATAACACCACGATTCCAATCATGATTCGGTATCTGCCCACTTTGTAAAATTGCTTGTAGTCGTTCCACATCAGCAAGAGTGGAGGCCGACGAAATAGCTCCCTTAAAAATCCAATTCGAATTTCGCAGTAATAAATTAACATTTTAATCTAAAGCTCTCATTGATAATTTTCAATTGATCTTTTGCTTCTCAGTTACCTTAAATCCACAGCACTTTACCGCAACAGTATCCAGTACTAATAAGACAAACAAAAAAGATAATATTCACATAAATTTTCTCCGTAAAAATTGAAGCCTAATTTTTCTTCACTAAAAAAATTTTACCTCAATTTTCTTAGCATCCTCTTCAAGCAGATTTTCAAGGTGTCTTTCTTCCTCGTCATCAAGTATATTTTTTGACTTCTTCACTACTTCGTCCCTTAATTTTTTGCCTTTTTCACCTTTGAACAAGCGATTAGCTTGTTGTCTTTCCTGCATAATTTGCATCTCTAATTCTCATAATTCACTTACTCAACAAATTCATTTACTTACTGCAATGATTTCAATGATCAAATCAATCTTCTTCAATATTACTTACAGCGAGACGGATACGTTTGAAATCAAGTACACGCACAGAAGGTACTTTATATATAACATAGGATCGGTATTGTGGCTTATGAGTTAAAGGATTTCCAATAAGCCTAAAATTATGATTTATTTTTAATATCACAATAGTAGAAAAATCTTACTTAAAATAGACGAAAGTAACTTGAATGCTCAAACACTCACGTTAAATACTCTAATTTTTTGCAAGTTGAAAGAGGATCGATGTCTCCTAACTCGCACAAGTTGTTGTTCGTCAGTGCTAGAGTTCTAAGCGATGGCAGTACCTCACCAATATTTGGCATTATCTGCCTGGAAAGTTGATAGCGCAAAACAACAAACATATGTAAGGAACTAAAGGTAGCTTAATATGTAAATTTCGTTTCAATATGTGATCTAATGATTATAATAAAATGATATTCAAGAAAAAACTCTCACTGTACGCGATTATTGTGCATGAGTAGAGTGCTAAGGCGCTTTAGCAAAGGAATATTTTCAAGTTTTCTGATATCGTTATCTGTCAAATCGATTGTATCGAACTGGTCCTAGAAGACATTTGAATCAGATATTTTAGAAACTAAGAAGTTTCTATTCCTTCAAGTTATTATGAACTACATGTTACAGTTCATAATTCATGCGCATAAAAAAAGAGAGCAAAAATTTTATTTTTAAATTTTTTATTATCTGAGTAGGAACCCATCTAGAGATTAGAAACCTTTCGCAAAATAAAACTTATTTAAATAAAAAAGAATATTTATGCTTTGAAAAATACATCTAGAATGCAATATTTCCGAAATACCAAAACTTTACAAAAATGAGTTGACCTTCGTAACTCCTAGATTTTCCAAAACTGGGATCTTACAAGCACGTAGGCTCAATTCTCGATCACGAACTGTATTGAGATATTGAAGCGAATCACTGATTAATTCAACTGTCAATCGAACCATTCTCAAAACAAGACACTCAGTGTACATTGAGATTTTGGTGGCACAAAATAAGACCTGCACAACACATTAGACGTGGAAACTCATAACCACTTTCATTTCAGATTTGAAAAGCTATGACATAAAATTTCTTTACACCTTATTGCACACCCATGCAAACAAATACACACTCATGAGCTACTCAAGAAATATTCAGTTTCCCTATAAATCCCAAGAAACATGCTAAATACGCAGCAACCTCTAGTTAGCATTAATGCATCGTCTAAAAAGAGCAAGCACTTTAGTGCTAGAGCATCGTCTAAAAAAATTAAACAGCTCTTTTTTCAATTTACTTTCAAGTTTCTGAAATAAAATCACCTAGCGTCTGAATTACAGACCAGCATACAAAACTATATACAAACAAATTTAGTGCTCTATAAAACACAAAACAATAAAACTTTTAAAAACTGCCCAAAACAAAATATATTTATTCACTACAGTAAGCAATAGCAGATCACATGGACTGGAAAAAATGAACCAAATTATCGACAAGTACTAAGAAAAAACTACTCGTTAGTTTGAGATTACTATAGAGAAGAAATTCTGTTTTGATTTTCAAAACATATATATTATGATCATTACAAGTCACATACATCTTAAAAATACTTACAGAATACCAGTAATGCATAGAGAGGTGCTAATAAAACTGCAAAAGAACAGCAGTATTCCTTCAAGTGAAGTACGATTACTTTACGTCTGAGATTGCTCAAATTTTCGCACTTTGAGAAAAGAAAGACAGTGCAAGCAAAAACCAATATTCCCAAATCCTGTTTCCAGAATTTAAACATTTAACAACTTCGTTGTTTAGGCAAAACCCATAAAAAGTTTAGAAACCCCCAAAACAATTCAATCACACTAAAAATGACAGCTAGTTACTAGAAAACCATTTAATCTGATAATATTGAGAAATTCTACATACAAAAACAAAACTCAATTCGAAGTGAACATGAATCAAGCATTAGAAAATTACAATGCTATCTATCTTAAACAGGAATTTCCACGTTTACAAATGGATTTTCACAACTGAAAAAAAACAAGCAAAAATAAAACAAACATCTTTTGTAAAGTTAAAAGGTTTTATAAAAAGCCACTTCAGTACATTACAGTCAGCTGTCATAGAATGACCAGATTATGGATACACGACGACCGAAAAACAAATTAAAATGTTAAATTACAAATAAGTTAGGCATAATAAGCATTGCATGAAATGACGCAGAGGACAGTAATGCTATGAAGTTGCAAACACGATTTTAGTTCGGTCAAAATTTTGCTACCGATCGCTGCAAATGCTTCGCCCTCACATGACTGAATAAATATAATTCAATATTTCACACTAACTGGAACAATATTTAACTTTTTGAAATAATGAAAATTACAATAAGAACCATGACACATATCAATGTAAATGGGAGCCACTGTTTGACAAAGCCACTTAATCTGAAAATATTGTAAACTCCTTCACAGCAGATAATGTTTATTATGCATATGATATTTATTTTTTCAACGAAAAAAATCTATCATGAAGAAAATTTTTTTCAATACTTAAAAGCGCAATAAATATAATTCTCAATAGAGTCATGTATTAAAAATATCCTTATTTTTGATCAAACTCACTAAGCACCTTTTTATCATTTTCCAAATGAAAAAAGAAAGTAGACTGTGCAACACAAAGTTCTACTACAAGAAAAGTGACAGATTATTGAAAAAGGCAGAGATTTGAATCTTCTCTTCACACCTGTGGCTTATTAAAAATTACTAACGAAAACAGCCAAAATTATTAACGAAAACGAAAGAAGAAACCATTATATTTACTTAAAAGTGAATACATTAAAATACTGCTTTCGTAGTAATTTTTAATCCCATCAGACATTTAATCCTTTCCTGCTGTGCTTATGCTTATAATATCACTGAAATAAACGAACCCAACATATCGACCTTTGGTCATAAGCATGATGGTCAATCGGATACATTTGTGATCTCGCCTATGATTAAACCTCATCTCATTTAAAGCCATTGAAACATGACAATAGCAGTTATCACAGAATAAATTGTGCTGTAAATGAAAATATGAACAGAAAGAGAGAAAAAATAACAGACATGGCTATTTCGCAAATGGTGAAAGCCCAAAAATGTTTATGTGGCAGATTGCAAAACAAACTACAACTTTTTAGATACCCTTACTATTATTAAAATAATCATTAAAAATTGTTTATACGCTGACAAAATAACTAGACGGATAGCAATTGAAAAAAAACATACAACGTGACTTTTATATTCCTCTGAAGCCTCTGAAACTGCGCAATCCCAGGCTTCAGAACCTCCATCGATTGTATTTGGATCTATCTGTAGATACCAAGTGGGCCAACCGAATGCCATATCATCTTCCTGAATGATAAATTAAAAGATTTCGAGGTTAGTAATTGAAAATTTCCATACCACATACGAACTTTCTAGGTAATTTAGATCATAAGAGCATGAATTCCAGCGACTAATCAGATAGAAAACAGGTATTAGAATTCAACGACAATATCAACCAAAGTGTAGTGAGATTCAGAAGTTCTGAAACACAAAAGATGAAGAGAAGAAGATAATATATTTATAGTGGTAAATTTATCCGCTCCTTTTAGACCTGAGATCATGTTCAAAACAATGCAAATAAAAAAAATTGAAAGTAAATGTTCGAACGAAAATAGCAAAGACACTCACAGAAACACAGTAGCTCCCAGAAAAATCACGGATAACACCTTGGCTTGTTGCTATACCCATATGGCCAACGAAAGGAAATAACCACCTAAGCAAAAATTTAGAAGAAATGGGGTAAAAATTATTACGAGAAATTATCTATGTCTAGAAGATGTCAAGTCTAAAAAAGTGAAAAAATTTTTGTTTCTTATGGTGACCGATATCAGAATTAAATCGTCCTTAAATATACATTACACAGGTCAACTCAGAATTTTAATGTGCAAAAATGCTAACCTGAAAACATTCACTTAGTGTATGTGGAGCCAAGGGAAATTCAGATGCAGGCTGTGAAATTATCTCACCACAACTCTCACATCATTAAAAAAATACAGTTTTCGATTAATTATGGAGTGTGCTCATTTTAATGGTGCGAAATTGATAAAAACTGCGTTCAATAATAGCTCTTCTAAAACAAACAACTATAACTAAGATAAGACATACGTAAGTAGTGGTATTGGTGTCCACACAATGCAGCATGGAAATCGATGACGTTCGGGAATAACTTGCATCTCAACTCCGTCATGCTCGTTCCTTCCATCAAACTGTGGCATCATATCGAGCAACTCAATACTGAATAAGTAGTCCAAAGTCGAGCAAACAAACTCGCGTACCCTTCCCCCAAACTGAGAAACATCAATGTGCTTGAAACCCTAATGTGGCATTAATAAATGGATTACAACAGTGTCCATTTTCTCCATCTTCGAACCCGAGTCTGATATTACCGGCAGTACTTGGTTGACGGCTGTAGCGAGCTTGCACTGATGTCAAAATGATGTGGGTTACAATGATGCGTTACCCGTGTTACCGTTGCTCTTGTATTTAGAGCCTTAGTGATTGCGCTTATAGCGTACGGAGTAACGTGTGGCTTTTAAGTACTGCTTGTCGTATCTCGGTTTTTTCTTTTTTTCTAATTTATGTGTCAAGTTACAGTTTGAATTTCAACTACATATTGATTACTAATGGGTGATCATTCTCGACAAATTTTGCGTTCGAATCGAGAATACTTTAATTCTCCACGCATGGTTAGTGTATGCACATTCGCAATGATTAATGTTTGGACTCTGCATCAAACTTTCTGTTGAGTCTTATTTGAAATACAGTGATCACTTTCTTAGAACTGTTTTCTTTTCTTAGTTTCATCTGTGCTCAGGAAACAGATAAAAACCGGACAAATTTCTGGTTTTTGTTTTTTAATTTTTTACCACTTATCAGTGTGCTTAGATTTTTACTTCTATTGTCGATTTTAAATGTGGTTTTTAGTTTTTCTAAGCTTCACTGCATTAAATTTTAAGTTTCCGTAAAATCAACCGAATTGTGTACGGATTTGTTTCTGCACATTTTCTAAGCTGTTTGATATTTTTTTCTTTCAGGATAAAGACGAAGTAAGACGTGGGCGTCGATCACTTCATTATGGTGGCAGTAGCTCTGTGTCACAGAATGAAAGACCAAACAGTGCAGTCGTGACAATTATGTCTCGTCCAACTGTTATTTTATCAAAGCGCAAAGGTTGTTTTGTCTTTGATAAAATTATGCACGTAACTTTAGATTATTTGACTATGTATGATCATAAAATACATCAATTCGAGATATTGAGTTTTTTAAATAATTGACTTTTATCTGTTTTCATAGTTTGTTTCGTGACGCCATAAATACCAATTCTATGAATCATTATCACAGTAGTGATACAACTTACATTGTATTTACTTGTATGGTGAAAAATTTGTATAGAAAATTTTTTCATATTAATAATGGAATGCTCTTGCTTTCTTTTTTGATGTAATTTTTCGCATTTATGATTGCTGTTTTTAGTTTATTATTTAATTTGGTTTCTATCGTTGTAGACGAACCATCAGCTGCTGATAACGTCGAAAAAAAGAGCAAAACGAAGTTACACTCGGATCATTCATCTCAAGTAATACTTAGCAACTCATTATCGCAATTTTATTTATGATCTCATTCACCAAACATATGCATAAAAGTAATAAGTTGTTCTTATGTTGCAGGAACCAACTCCAGTTGCAAATGATACTCCTAATTTTTCAACGCCATCACCTGGTCGACCGGCTATATCACTTTTAAGTTCTGCACTTCGATCAGATAAAATGCGTAAGTTTTTCAACATTTGAAGATTCTCGTGCTAATTATGATAGTGCTTTCGTAATTATTTAGTGCAAGTGAATTTCATATAATAACTTTTTTTTAGCTAGAATTAATTTTTCAAGGAAAAGCTCATGGTTTTGCAGCATTCGCAAATTCTGTAGAACATTCTATGGGTCTTATGAAAGCTGCTGTACGGTTACTTTCAGATGCGATGGATTTCACTGATGTAGTTGCGGTCCGTTGATTTTAATTTTTTTCTATGAAATAGAGGTCTGAAATCATGAAATACATTGTTTTGTATTATATATTCACAATCAAGACATATATCACCTTGTATATATTGTCTTGTATTACTGAAGATTTATTTGTCTGAAGATACAAATTCTCTCTGTATATGCTTTGACTTTTTCAGGATTATTTATCCACGACAAATACAAATTTTACGGTTATTGGTATAATCGGTTCACAAAGTTCGGGCAAATCGACACTTCTCAGTATGATAGCTGGTAATGATCATCTGGATATGTATAGGCATGTAATATTTGTTCAGAAATTGTATCTTCAACACAGTAATAAGTTTTTATTCCAACAAATTGACCTCATTGCAGTATTGGTAGATAATCCTTTTTATATGAATTAAAGGGAACTTTCTAGGGGTACGTATAAGGTCATTAATATTATTTAAAGTTTAGAAGGATAACATTTGCACTTTTTTGTAGACGTTATTTTGCGAAATGCTTTCCAAAAGCTATATTAGTATTTTTTCTTGTACTGTTTGGGAAGCTGATTTTTGTCTTGCTGACAGTATTGACTGCTTGTTTAGACTCATTGAAAATGCATAACAGTGATTAATGAATTTTACAGATATGCTGTTATTGTTTTAGGCACTATGCGTTCCGTCCAGCATCTCGCGAGGCAGTGGAAACTTGTCGTTTTCAGTCTCAAAAAATAAACATTTACGTAACCAAGTCACGGTTGATTTTACTAGATTGTCAGGTGAGTAATTATTTCTAGATAGTAAATTCATGTGTTGTGTTTAATTCATGTAAAAACTACTATGTGGCCTTATCTCTCATATTTTGTGCATCGGATGCAAATTGTGAAATAATTTGTTTCTTGTTTGGAGGATTTGACTGTAAATGAAATGTTGAACTGTAGACGTTTTTTTTCTGGAATGTTTTTAGGAACCATTTTCATGCATAAGTTGTGTGTAACAAATGGGTATTAGACTGTAAGATGCAGAAATTCATTGCTCATATTCGAATGCTTAACTGTGAGAAATGGTCTTTCGAGGAAACAATTTTTTTAAAAAATATTTTCGATATTGAGTTTTACAGTTAAAAAAAATTTTTTTAACACCCCTTATTTATATGAATGACCTACTCAAAGATTGCTGTTCTTTGCTGTAGTAGAGTTTGTACATTTTAAAAAGTTAGCTTTTCCCGAATTATGGCAGTATTCTTATGGTAATTACTTTCTTTTAGTCTATTAGTTCCGTTTCGATTCTCACCTATCTCATTTCAACATCAATGGATGCGAACCGTTCTTCAAATTCAAAAATTTCGGAATTCTGTCGAGACTTCCCAGCGATGACTGGAGAGATTGAGGTATTATTGATCATTGGATTCGGTCTTCAGTCTGTGTGGTGTTTTCGTGATTAATAATGGTATTGTAAATCCACTTTTTCGTATTCGTAGACTGTTATAGTTGTAAGCTACGACTTGAATTTTGTAATTCGAAAAATATTTCAGAGCTTATGTTTAACAGCATTCCTTCTTCAAGTATGCCACACTATAATACTTTCTGTGGATTGGTTTATTGATATTGATTTAATTCGGCATGTAAGAACTGCGGAAATGCTTCGCGTTACGACAACACATTATACCCCTGATGTGGTTAAATACAAGCCGAATCGAAAAATTAATCTTGGTAGTTGTATATGTCTTTACTGATTGTTCATTTTTTATTTTAAGCTAAACGTCAGTATTAGAGGTGACTAAAACCATGATTAAGGTTTCGTGGAATATAAGTATAACATTAAGGTAATAATTTGATAGTCCTGATAAACTGTGTTGCGTTCAACAATTTCTTGTTCGTGAGGCACATTGTTGTATTTGTAATCTGTAATGTTTGATCTTACCATGTTTCTTTGGCGTTTGTATTCAACTTACTCAGTTAATGACATCGATACTTTTAGTGGTTGTTCATCAACGAGCGAAATCGGAAGATTTTACTCCAGGAACTGTGAGAAGTCGAATTAGAATTCTAGAATGTTTATTTAAAGAATCTCAGTTGAATGTCAAAAGCGGTATTTCTTTGGGTAGTCTGGGATTCAGGCCTTATGATGTTATCATGCATGGCGTGAATTACATTTTGCTCTCAGAAATGAAACCACGATTAAAATCTGAAGGAGGTGGTGCACCTGGTTAGCATTGGAAAAATTGATCCATGCTTATGAGCGGGTTTTCTTGACTTATAATTGCGTTATGTTACAAAAAAGTACTTGTGGGTCAAAAACACAGTCTTTGATTTTTGTCCCAAATGCTTTTTCTCATTTAACTCTAAAGCATCTACTTAAAAATTAGATTTATCTTGAAATAGAATTTTTGGAAGCATATTACTTATCTTTGCAAATTGCTTTCGCTCTTTCTTTTCTGGATCTAACCAATTTAGTTAACGATACGGGCCCCTTGTTAACAGTTGTTGAATACGAGTCCGTCATACACCAGCTTCGAATCCGGTTGTTGTCGTTGCCGAAGGAACCATTTGTTATTGGAAATCAACCATTTTCAGAAATTCAGTGGTACTATTTTTAGCAGAATTTTCTCTGTTTTTGGTTTTTAGTACATATAAGCTATACTTGATTGTATTCAAACAGTAGTTTTAATTAATATAATGATTTTTTTTATGTACGAATTTGCTACACGAACTTGGCGAGCTACTCATGGAAATGCGACAATCTCTTCATTTGTATATGAGTTTGGAAAACTTTTTGATGAATAAAGAATTGGCAGTAACCCATTTTACTTCAAACGGTTTGCTAGTCATAGCTTTCATAGATTTTTAGCTTTGAACTTATTAATCATCGTCCTCCGACTCTGTATATTGGAATACATATATTTGCTCTTTCTTAACTAGCACATTGAGTGTTGATTCTTCGTCTTATATTAACCTTGGAGGTAATTCTTAGAGCTTTTTCCCTGTTTTGGTTCAAGTTATTACTTTATTGTTTTTTCGAAGAATTTCTTAAAGTTGAAATTGACACAGCATTTTTATCAAGTTAATAGTTCTTGCTAAATTGGTTTCATTCAAATCAAATATTATTCGAACTAGAGGTTTAGCCTATACACTGAACTTTTTGCTGAAGAATATGTATTTAAGTAATGAATATATAGAAGGCAAATTGTTATTTATGATTTAATGTCTACAGTAATTGCAATAATGTTTTTAAGATCTGCCTATTTTAGTTCATGGGAAACTGCAAAGTTTTGAGGAAGAATATTGAATCTCTATGCTTTTTGAAGTATTGTATTGCTTGTAGAAAAGAATGCATTCGTTTTTCGATTTTATTCAATAGTTTAGGTGTCTTAGTGAGAGATGTGTTAGTTGAAGCCTTCTCTCAATATTGTAGTTTCTGATTGCAGTAATATCTTCGTTGTTAAAATTTTCAGTCCGTATTTTGTGAATAAGAATCATATTGCTTAATTTGGAATAATTATGCTCGTACATTCTTTGCAAGTTGCTTAGTTTTTTGTTCTAGCATATGAAAGCCGTATTCTGATGTAATGTGAGGAATGAAGAGCTTTTGTCCAGTTGTGGTTTGTTTAACATGAGAGGTAGCGACATGTTTCACATTATATATTTTAATAGCTGAATTAATCTGCAGCTTTTTAGGCACCATTTCTTGTTTTGAGAAAAAGTGTGGACTTTTTTCACTATACCACAGTAATTTTTTGCTTGTGGTGCTTCTTAAGGATATTTGCTTTTTTAACGTAGTTTTTAAAATTATTAAAAGCATGAAATACAGTTTATCAGGAAAAAGCTAAAAGTTTTTAGTATTCTGATTGTGTGGAAGCTGAATGTATTGTTTAAAGGAAGGGATAGCAGTGGTGAATGAATTGTACGTTTCTAAGGTTGCTTCGGTATTTTGTGTCTGTGATAAATTCGAGAAAGGATACAGTGGTGCCAATTTAGAGAATAGATTGTATGAGGGCAGGTCTACACATTTTTAATGTATTGGGATGTCCAAGTTATGGCAGTTACGTCTGCTTTTACCTTCTTGCTTTATCTTGATTTAATATGATTGCGACTTGTAGCTTTCTCAATCTTAATTGAGATTTATGCACCGAGCAACCATTTTTTATTACATTTCGTGTATTAATTGACGAGTGACAGAACATCGTTGAACAATCGTTAATCGTTGTCACTTGTCAGTTGGTACACGAAATGTAATATGATTACCACATTTATCCTTTTGTAACAACTACTTATGTTTTTTTCTGTTAAAACTGTTTCAGTGATCAGTCAGTGGATGACTGTACCGTGGAAGTAGTTCTTTTGTAATTAATTGACAATCGAGTGAGCATCATTTCGTAGCTGCCATAAACGATTGGTCGCTGCAGAAATGTTAAAAACGATGCAAGGTGCAATTGCATGATATCAAAATGAGATCAGTCATTCCCTTTTATTCTCTCATGTAGCACTTTCATTGCCAACGGTAATAACATAATTTGATGTGAAATCAACTTCATCATTTTATGCGGCCTTGAAAATCGTGTGACACCCTTGCCGATTTTTGATTTTTAAAACAATTATGAAATTTCGTATCCAGTTCATGTACTCATTATTGTAGTAATCCACTCCTTCATATTTGTTACGTCTTTATTCTGTAAATAAATATGTGCAGCTTTATAAATAATTATAAAAATGAATAAATAGTTGAAGATGAATGTTTAAATACAATTGATTATGTATATGTATATGTATCGTTTTTAACATTTTTGCATATATGTATAGAACGTGAAGGTTAGTTTTAATTTTCGCTTTATTGATTGTGACGATGGA